AAAAAAAAAAAAAAAAAAAAAAAGGAATAGGAAAAACTTAAATGGTAAAGGTGAGTAGGGAACCATCATTAATAAGCACTACCCCTGGCACCTGTCTGTAATTTCACTTGCTGGGTTGAAAGAAGCTAGCTAGTGTCAATGGGGCTTTTTACACTGAGATTTTGGATCATGTCTCAAATTTCAGTCAAGAGAACAAAACTCAGGAGGGATAAATTTTGCAAGCCCCAAAGGGCCACAAAAAGGTGGCTAAGTGCCTAGAAATTCACACAAAGGAAAACAACATGGTAAGAGCAACTAATTAAGAACATAAAAAGAGTGATAATGACTTCTGTGAATTGTTGCTTAATGAACAGCTCCAGTTAATGAACCTGTCAATATACTCTTAGAAAACAATTTCACTGAATCAACAAAGCTTGTAATACTTTAAAAAATCTCTGCATAGCAACCTCTTTCTCCTTACTGCTATTTAGGAATACTTTTTCCCCCAATATAATAATAATAGAAATAAAATAACACAATAGGAATACCTTTAATGAGCCAACTCGCTGGGTTACAAATTTGTCAATTCAGTAGCCTAAGGGTTCAAAGGAGTCCCTCTTACTTGTCTGGCCTTCTGTGTCCTCTAGTAAAGGCCCTTTGAGGTGTGAGAATGTTCTGTGCTGCTTCTTAGAACAGTTTTAGATTTATAGAAAAGGTGAGAAGATGGCACAAAGAGTTTCTACCACTGTACAACTAATAGTATGGTTGTCACAATTAATGGACTACTATCAGTACATTAGTTTAGACTAAAGTCCATACTTAGTTCAGATTTCCTTATTTTTTACCTAATATTCTTTGTTTTTTCCAGGATCCCATTGCGGAAACTACATTCCATTTATTCATGTCTTCATGGGCGGCCCCCCTTTGCTGTGACAACTTCTTAGACTTGTTTTTAATGATCTGACAGTTTCAAAGAATCCTGTTCAAGTATTTTGTAGAAAGTCCCTCAATTGGGGTTGAGTTTCGCTCATGGGTTTATGGACTTTTGGGAGGAAGAGCATTCTCATGTATCATAGGAACATGACTATCCACGTGACTTATAATTGGATGTTAACCTTGATCACTTGGCCAGGTTTCTCCACTGTAATTATTCCTCCCCCCCTTCCATACTGTATCCTTTGGAATGAACTCCCTAGGCCCACTCCACACTTGAATGGAAATTTGTGCTGTCCTGGAAGGTAGAATATCTACATAAGTTATTTGTAATTATTCTGAAAGAAATTTTTCTTCTCACATTTATTAAATTTGTTTATACCACTAAGGACTCATGGATATTTATTTTGTATTTTGGTTATGATCCAATAATGCTTTGTTTTATTCAGAGTGTTCCAACTTTGATTATCGAGGTCTCAGTTGGCCCTATGGGGATATTCTCATAAATATTTTACATTCTTTTGATGTTCTCATAATTGGCTTTTTTGTTTGCTTCTGAATACTTCCTCACTTTATGGCACTATAAGAATGCTTCAGACTCACTTTTTTTTTTTTTTTTTTTGAGATGGAGTCTCAGTCGCTCAGACTGGAGTACAGTGGCCGCTTCTGGCCACCGCAGCCTCGACCTGCTGGGCTCTGGTGATCCTTCCACCTCAGCCTTCCAAGTAGCTGGAACTACAGGCACATGCTACCAACGCCTCAGCCAAGTTGCTGAGGCGGGTCTCGAACCTGTGGGCTCAAGCAATTCACTCACCTCGGCCTCCCAAAGCACGGGATTACAGGCTAAGCCACCAAGCCTGGCCCAGACTCACTTTTGTATATTGTCTACCCCCACCTAAGAATTAGCTTTCTCCAAAAAACCCTGGTTCTCTTTTTTTGAGTAGGAGTCTTGCTGCTGCTCAGGCTGGAGTGTAGCTGGAACCATGGGTGTGGGCCACTACATCCAACTAGTGTTTGATTTATTGTACAGATGAGGTCTCACCAAGTTGCCCAGGCTGGTCTCAAACCCTTGGGTTCAGATAATCCTCTCACCTGTACCTCCCAAAGGGCTGGGATTACAGGCTTGTGCCACTGCGCCTGGCCAATTTTTTTTTTGTGTGTGTGTGAATCAGGGTCTCTGTTGCTCGGGCTAGAGTACCCTGGCATGCTCTTGAGAGTCAGGGCTCACTGCAACCTTGAACTTTTGGGCTTAGGTGATCCTTCCACCTCAACATTCCTAGTAGCTGGGACTACAGGCGTGTACCACCACCCCTGAGTCATTCTTTTGATTCTATTTTTAGAGACAAAGTTTTGTTATTTTGCTCAGGCTGCCAGTTACTAATCTTGCCAGAAGATGGGTGATTTAACTCATACCCTTTTTGTTGGGTTTATGGCTTTTGTTAACAAAACTGCTAGATGTTGGGAACCAATGATGAACTAGACAGTCCTTGCTCATGTCAAGCCTTGGACAATCTAGCCTTAGCTTGCTCATCCCCTCACCTTTATCACCCTCAGAGGCCCTTGTTGGCCACACTAGTTTGGATTAGTCCTTGGTGAGCCTCTTGCCAGTTGGTTTCTGCACATACTGTTTAGCCTTTCTGTTTTTGTCTTCTTAATGTATGTTTTGAGATCTCAGCTCAGTCAGCACTTCTGCGGGAAATGTGCCTTCCCTAATTGACTGAGCACCTGTTATGTTTATCATAGTACTATGTTTTATTTTTTTACCGCACTGTTTTACCACAGATGCCATGTAAGAGTCCTTTGTAAAGGTATTATTCACAAGCTCCTAAAGGTTTACCTCACTCTCGTTACTCAGAAGTCTTAGTTATACTGACAGCTGACTAAAGAGTATGTGTGTCATGTACCCAAAATAGTTTAAGACCATAGGAATATGCTTTTTGGTAATAACTCATAAGTGAGGATAACAAGACTGCAGTTTTTGTTCTTGTAAGTTTTTGGACATGAAAACAAAGGTATCAGGTTATAAAATAATTTGCTAGTAGACCCTAAAGATATAACCTAGTGCATCATTTTTTGAAACTGAATGTAGCTCTAAACATTAAATGAAAATACAGATTTCCACAGGATTACTATTTATTTTTTAATTTTTATTCATTTATTATTCTTTTCTTTTATTTTTTTTGAGTTGGAGTCTCACTCGGTCGCCCAGACTGGAGTGCAGTGGCCGCTCCCGACCACCGCAGCCTCGACCTGCTGGGCTCTGGCGATCCTTCCGCCTCAGCCTTCTGAGTAGCCGGAACTACAGGCATGCACTACCACGCCCGACTGATTTTTTGATTTATTGTAGAGATGAGGTCTCACTGCCCAGGTGGGTCTCAAACCCGTGGGCTTGGGCAATCCACTCACCTCAGCCTCCCAAAGGCGCAGGATTATAGGCTGAGTCACCAAGCCCGGCTTATTTTATTTTTTGAGTTGGAGTCTCACTCTCATCGAGACTGGAGTGCAGTGGCTGCTCCCGGCCACCGCAGCCTCGACCTGCTGGGCTAGGGCGATCCTTCTGCCTCAGCCTTCCAAGGAGCTGGAACTACAGGCACGCGCTACCACGCCCGGATAATTTTTTTGATCTATTGTAGACATGAGGTCTCGCCAAGTTGCCCAGGCAGGTCTGAAACCCACGGACTCCGGCAATCTACTCACCTCGGCCTCCCAAAGCACTGGGATTACAGGCTGAGCCACCAAGCCCGGCCAGGATTGCTATTTAAATCAGAGATGTGTTAAATATTTGTGGGCTTTCGTTACTGTTTTTGGTAAGCTGTAAATATCCTTATACTTAAGGAAACATCTTTGTGTGTAAATTAACTTGCAGAACCTCTTACTAGCAGGCATACTGACAAGTAGCTGCCAGGATAAAACTTAAAATAAGATTTAAATACATAATTTTAACATACTTATTACTTTGGGGTCCTATTAAAAGGAAAGCTCTTTGAATCTATGATTTTGTCATATTAAGGTACTCATGTAAGTATGCCTTGGTACATGTGACACTATACAATATTGACACCATTTACTACATGTTGACCACGTGTCACGTAAATTCTTTTTTTTTTGAGTTGGAATTACACTCAGTCACCCAGCCTGTAGTACAGTGACACACTCAAGGCTACCACAATCTTGACTTGCTGGGCTCAGGTGATCCTGCTTTGGCCTTCCAAGCAGCTGGAACTACACAGGCAGGCGCCATCATGCCCAGCTTTTTTTTTAATTTTAGAGATGAGGTCTCGGCATATTGCCCAGGCTGGTCTCGAATCCATAGGCTCAGGCAATGCTCTCACCTCTCCCTCCCAAATTGCTGGGATTACATGCATGAGTCACCTTGCCTGGCTTGTTAAATTCATTTAACATGCCTCTTAGTCCTGTAAACAGTAACATCCTGAAGGGACTACTGAAATGACTGTCTTCCAGACTCATACCTATTCCAAATGACAAATACATTGTTTCAGACTATCAGCATCTTAGCCACTTTTGTTGTAGTGTGCCTTGGCTTCCTTTTGTCTTCAACAACATAACATATGTAGGAATGGACTTTTTTGCTTGAAAAAGGAGTTGTCCAACCAGGTGTGGTGGCTCATGCCTGTAATCCCAGCACTTTGTGGGGTGGAGGCGAGAGGATTGCCTGAGCCCAGGGGTGCAAGACCTCATCTCTACAATAAATAAAATTAGCCAGGCATGGTAGCATGCGCCTGTATTTCCAGCTACGTGAAAGACTGAAGCAAAAGGATCACCTGAGTCCAGCAGGTTGAGGCTGCGGTGCCCATGAGTGTGTCACCGCCCTCCTGCCTGGGCAACAAAGTGAGACCCCAACTCAAAAAAAGAAATTAAATAAATCAAAGTGCAGGTGAGGTGGCATGCTCCTATATTTCCAACTTCTTGGAAGGCTGAGGTGGAAGGATCCCCTGAGCCCAGCAGGTTGAGGCTGCGGTGGCCATGATTGTGTCACTGCACTCCATCTGGGTTACAGAGTGAGAATGTGACTCAAAAAAGAAAAGGAGTCCTCCATCTACCTCATTCTTCTTGTGAGTAACGTACTTAATTAAGTCTTAGATTTTTAAAACGTCCCCTGGGAAGGACTAAATGGGTCCTGCATACCAACCCCTGTCTGCCTTATGATAGGATTTATCGCATTTTTATTAAAACTCATCAGTGCTTGTCCTATTAAACTATGGACCAGAATATTTTCTTTTTGAGTTAGAGTCTGTGTCGCCCAGGTTGGAGTGTATTGGCATGCTGCTTACGGCCACCCCAGCATCGACCTGCTGAGCCTAGGCCATCCTTCTGTCTCAGCCTTCCGAGTAGATGGAACTACAGGCATGCACCACCATGCCCGGCTAATTTTTTTATTTACTGTAGTGATGAGGTCTCACCAAGTTGCCTAGGCTGATCTCAAACCCCTGGACTCAAGCAATCCTCTTGCCTCGGCCTCCAAAGTACTGGTATTACAGGCTTAAGCTATCGCCCCGGCCAGAATATTTTCAGGCCATTTTAAAATCAAGGATTTACTTAAATTTTTCAAGGGAAGGGATAACGTTGAAGCCCCCTTTTAATTTTGTGTATATAGTGGTATGTACATACTAAATTGAGGGCATAAAGACTCGAACAGATAGATATAAGCCATTATATGATAATGCATAACAAAATCACTTCTAGATTATTTAAAGGATATTTGCAATTGGTTTAAATAAAAATTATATGATCTCCCTGCATGCTAAAAAAAAAAATTGCTAAAATGGTGGAGATTCTAAACTGTTAAAAGCCAGGGTGATGCTTTTATGGGGAAACCTTGATGTGTTTATATTAAAAAGAGAAACTTTTATTCAAAATTACTATATGCCGGGTACAGTGGCTCACTCCTGCAATCCTCATACTTTAGGAGACACAGGTGAGAGGATCGCCTGAGTTCAAGTGTTCAAGACCAGCATGAGCAACTTGGCGATACCTCGTCTATAATAAATCAAAATTGGCCAGGTGTGTTGGTGCACACCAGTGGTTCCAGCTATTTTGAAGGCTGAGGCCGAAAGATCACCTGAGCCCAGCAAGTCTAGGTTGCAGTGGCTGTGAGCCTAGTGAGCGTACAGGACACACCTGTAGTTCTAGCTATTCAAGATACTGAGTCAGGGGGATAGCTTCAGCCCAGGGAGTTGGATGCTGCAGTGAAGTATCATCCTACCACTGTACTCCAGCCTGGGCGTCAGAGTGAGACCCTGTCTCTAAAACGAAAAAAGAGATTAACCCTTTGCAAACAACTTTACCAGTTTTTTGTATTTTCTTTAATACTTTTCCATACAGAATTTTTAGAAAATCTAATAACATTTATCATTTTCCTTTTAGGTA